TTTTGTTGTTGAATTGTAAGAGTTCATTTTATATTCTGGATTCTAGGCTCTTATAAGATATATGACTTGCACAAATTTTCTCCCATTCTGTAAGTCATCTTTTCACATTCTTGATAATGTCCTCCTTTTATGATAATATCACAATGCACAAAAATTTATACATTTGATTAAATCTAATTTATTTTTTCTTTTGTTGCTCATGCTTTTGATGTTATATCTACGCCATTGCCAAAGCATGAAGATTTATGCCGATGTTTCTTTCTAATAGTTTTATGGTTTTAGCTCCTACATTTAGGTCATTGATTCACTTTGAGTTAAATTTTGTATATGGTGCGAAGTAGGAATTCAACTTTATTCTTTTGCACATTTGTTTCTTTTAAAAGCCTCTGGTGGCTTGTAACTAAATAAGAAAGGGGGACGGAGAGCTGGGAAACTCCGACCTAGAAATATAAAAATGAGTGCTGTGAAGAGCATGAGTCTCAATTCATAGATTTCACAGTATGGACAGCGTGGACGGATGACGTGGGTTTCAAAGTTTCGAAAGTTATATTTGACCTCTGTGGGGAAATCACCTACTAGGTGCCAAGTACAGGGAGAAGCGTGAGCCAGTTTACAGATTTTGTAACATGGACAGCTTGGATGGATTACTTGGGTTTCAAACTTCAAGTTATGTTTGATCTCTGCAGGGAAAGCATCAATGTGTCAAGTACAGGGCTTGGTTCTTCATTGCTCCACAAATTTTATTTTTCTTCCTTCAATAGATTACATCTACTGAAGTAAGATTATATCTATTGAAGAAAAAAAGAAAGCCATGGTGCCATGGTATATGTGTGTATGTACTTATGGGTACATGATCTCATTTAATTTTCTCAACAGGTTTCCAGAATAGGCAATATTATCTCTATTTATAGATGAATCATTTGTGGCTCAGTGAGGTGGAGTAACACCTCACACAGTGAGGTTGCAGAGCTAATAAGTTTCAGAGCCAGAATATGAATACAGATCATTTTGCAAAGGCTGTATGTGTCAATCATTATAATCTAGATTATGATACAGTAATAAATAATTCCTAAGTATCCGTGCTTTATAACCACAGAAGTTTTTGTCTCATGTTACATGTTCACCCTGGATCATATCATCTTCACTCTGTGTCTCAGCCTGATAGAGCAACCTGTTTCTGGAATATTCTTAGTCTTATGGCTTTGGGAAAAGAGAACATGGCAAACCATGTGCTGGGTCTTACAGGTTCTGCTTGGAAGTGACACATGTCACTTCCCCTCACTTTCATTAGCCAGAAAAAAATCATGGTGGGCCAGGTGCAGTGGCTCATACCTGTAATCCTCGCACTTTGGGAGGCCGAGGCAGGAGGATCACTTGAGGTCAGGAGTTCCAGACCAGCTTGGCCAACATGGTGAAACCCCAACTCTACTAAAAATACAAAAATATTAGCCAGCATGGTGGTGCATGCCTGTAATCCCAGCTACACAGGAGGTAGCGGAATGAGAATCGCTTGAATCTGGGAGGCGGAGATTGCAGTGAGCTGAGATCATGCCACTGCACTCTAGCCTGGGCAACAGAGAGAGACTCCATCTCAAAAAATAAATAAAATAAATCACGTGGTGAAGCCTGACATCTGAGAGAGGGAAAAGTATAGTTTGTACCCAGGAGAAGCAGCAAAAATGATGAACAATAATAGACTCTGTCACAGGTCTCCTTCCCTCTTGTAACAAATACTTGCTTCCCTTCTCCTCCCGTATATACAACATACTTACCTTTCCCCAAAGTCTAGTCCAGTCATGGTACCAGGCTCCAAGTCCAAGATCTTGTGATCGTCTCTATACTAAGTCAGGATGTGACTCCTCTTCATCCAGAGACTTGTGAACTTTAAAACAATCATATATTTCCCCACCCCACCCCCAAATACATACTCAATATACAATGATAGATAAGGGACAGGATAACTGAAACAAACACTTCCATTTGGAAACAGGAAGATTGGGAGGCACAACAGTCACTGATCCATAACAGTTCTGAAATCAGGCTGGACACATGTTGCAAGGGGCCCCTAGGATGGGGAAGGTTGCTTCATGAGGCCCTGATACCACCTCCTGCGAGTAGCTCTCATTTCACTTTCCCTCCGTGGCTTTGAGCTCCACACTCTGGGAGGTCCTGCCCTTCCTTTTCCCTTATTCTTATTGACCACATCTGAAGAGGGCATCAGAGAATATGCCCTTCATGGGGGCAGCTTTTTCAGCCTGTTTCTTTTCCATACGAGGATGGGGGCCCAAGGGTCATTTTGTGTCATTTTAAATGTCAAACATTGGCAGCCTCTTATAGGCCATGCTAATGACTTTTTTTGGTCCTATGCTTTTCTACAACATTAATCATCTTCTTATCTGTTTGGTTCAGCTGTGTGTGCCATAGCCACATACAATTATTTTCTAAACATGTCTATCTCTCTCCAGACTTAATTATTGCTACCTTGCACTTATGAAGCTTCTGAGAGAAACATATTCTTAGTTTTCTTTATCTGAACAATTCTTTCCCAACTGAAAGGATTTACCAGGTACCATCTTGGTTGGTCCTTGCTACAAGGTTGAATTTTTTTTCTTTAACAGACATCTTGAGTATAATTTACATGCTGTGTAATTCACTTATCATAAGTGTACATGTGATTTTAGTAAATTTATAATTGTGTAACCATAGCTACAATCCAGTTCTAGAGCATTTCCAGCAACCTCCAAATTTCTGCATGTTCATTTACAGTCTATCCTTGTTTCTGCCCCGAGTCCTAAGCAATTACAAATATTTCTACTTCTTTTTTTTTTTTAAATGAAGTCTCGCTCTGTTGCCCAGGCTGGAGTGCAGTGGCACAATCTCAGCTCACTGCAAGCTCCGCCTCCCGGGTTCATGCCATTTTCCTGCCTCAGCCTCCTGAGTAGCTGGGACAACAGGCGCCCGCCAACACGCCCGGCTAATTTTTTGTATTTTTAGTAGAGACGGGGTTTCACCATGTTAGCCAGGATGGTCTCGATCTCCTGACCTCGTGATCCGCCTGCCTCGGCCTCCCAAAGTGCTGGGATTACAGGCGTGAGCCCCCACACTCAGCCAAATATTTCTACTTCTATAAATTAGCCTTTTGTAGACATTTCATATCAAATGAATCATATAATATGTAGTGTTTGGCAACAGTTACTTCATTTCGCATGATGTTTTTGAGATTCATACATATTGGAGCCTGTGCCTATAGTTTGTTCCTTTTAATTGCTACATAGTTCCGTTGTATAGATATGCCACATTGTGTTTGTCCATTTCAATAGCTAATGGACATTTAAGTTGTTTCAAGATTAGGGCTGTTAGAAAGAAGGCTGCCATAAACATTTGAACATGTCTTTGTATGAACATGTTTTCATTTCTCTTGGGAAGATCCCTAAGAGTTGAATTGCTGGGTCTCATGACAAATTTAAGTTACTTTTTAGAGAACCTTCCAGTTTTCCATAAAGGCTGTTCTTGACACTACAACGCTGAATTTTCATCAACCTCTGTTACTCGAGGTTCTCAGCCTTCTTTTTTTCTGTAGTTATGAGAATAGGTTAGCTCTTCCAACTCTCTAAGACCCTGAAGTTTTGGACTCTCTATTCTTTGTCATTCTTACAAAAATTGTCATTTTTTTGAGCCTGTTTCTTTCTTGTAGTGCCTTGTCAAACATAGTTAATAACAACCAAGGCACACTATCAACATTCTTATTCCATGTCTTCATTTGAAACCATAGCACATTCAGTTCATAATCTGCCTTCCGAGTGAAGGCAGGCAACACTTTGACTGAAAGCTTCGTCACTGTCACCGCATAACATAGAGATGACTTCCTCTCAGCCTCTGGTAACAGTTTCCTTGACACCTGGCCCAAAGACAATGGATTTTTGTTACACAATATACTATTTCTGATAGCAATTTCTGTATTAGTGAGGATAAAGAGATTGTGTTCCAGTAATGAATGCCCGTGAATCTCAGAAGATTATGAAAACAACATCACACCTGTAATCCCAGTGTTTTGAGAGGCTGAGGCAGGAGAATTATTCGAGACTGCACAACATAGTGAGACCCTGTCTCTACAAAAAAATTTAAAAAATTAGCCCGGCGTGGTGTCCCATGTCTGGAGTCCTAGCTACTCAGGCAGCTGAGGTGGGAGGATTGCTTGAGCCCAGGCTTTCAAGGTTGTAGTGAGCTATGATCGTGACACTGCACTCCAGACTGGGCTACAGAGCAAGTACTCTGTCTCTCTTTAAAAATAAAGAAAAAAAAACCATCCTCCCCCCCAACAAAAAAACAGTGTTTTCATTTTTTAATCCACGCTACATATCCATCCTGATAAGCCATACTTTGCTATACATCATCTTTACTCCAGAACCTAGGGTGATCCCTATGGGCCCAAATGAACCCCATCTGCAACACTGCTTGTCTTCTGGGACGGGGCAAAGAGGACGCAGTGAATCATGCACTAGATCTTAAAGCTTCTGCTCACACTGAATTAGAGCAGGCTGTGTGGCCAATCCTGACACCAATAGGGCAGGGAACTATAATGTTTTCCCAGGGAAGGGCAACAAAAATTATGGACAACAGTATAATTTATCACATTATTCGTTTTCTTCTATATCCTGGGGACCATAAAGAAGAAAGAAGCAGTTGTCTTTTTGTGGTAGTTTTGCTCAGAGCTGCCTAGAGCGAGGACAAGACAGGTGACCTTTCAAAATACCTTGCAGACTTAGGATGTGGATTTTCATGGCGGTTGGCCCAGCCGCAGGGCTCTGATGCACAGAACTAATACCTGCTGTTCCTCTGCCTCCACCAGCCCTATCTCTTTGGCTCAAGGAGAAATTTTATTGGATGGGTTGTCTTTTCCAAAGTTTACTACCCAACACCCAATGCTCTTTGGGGCATTAGTGAATCCATTTTTCTTGACTTCCACCATAAATTCACCCACTTATGTGTTTTCTTCCCAGCTGTCTTTTGGGGAGACATTGCCTTAGATGAAGATGACTTGAAGCTCTTTCACATTGACAAAGTCAGAGACTGGACCAACCAGACAGTGGGGGCAACTGGACACAGCACAGGTAGGTACTACATCCTCCCTTCTCCTGCCCGGACGGGAGGGACGAGGGACTCCAGCAGGGGGAGATGTGGACCACGAGTCACTGGTATTTGACCTGCTAGTCCAATGCCCCCCTATTTGTGGAAAATCAGAGGAGTCACTTCTCCTCCTCCACTGGAGCCAGTGGAGCTGGGGCTTCCAAGTTTGCTGATTCTTCTAAGAAAATCTCCATTTGCCTCTTTATCAGAGGGTTCAGGCTGGAGCTTGGTGTTGGTTCTTAGGACTCTGGCCTCAGGAATCAGCACTTTCCAGATTGGAGAGTCAAGTGAAATGGAAACAGATAACCATAACACCTCATAGCAAGTGTGTGAGAAACCACGAGCAGTGGGAAGACAGAGAGTGAGTGGAGAAGACTGCCTGGTGTCATGTGAATGGGCACTCGTGTGTGGTGTCTTGAAGGGTGAGGAGTCCTGAGTGGGAAAAAGGGCATTTCAGGTGGAATGAGAGCCTTTTGCAAAGGCAGGAAGTATGAGGGGACTCTATTTGAGGAACAGAGGCAAGGTGCAAGTCACTGGAGGGCAGCCCTTTGGGGTGGGCTGTGGCAGGAGATGCATCTGGAGAAGTTAGCTGGGGTAGACGGTGAAGGGCTTGTCTGTCGAGCTCATGAGCTTGGGCTTTGCCCACTGGGCGGTAGGGGTTCTGGTGAATAGGAGCATGACTGGCTCATCTTGAAATCAGGGGTGCCTGGGTGGAGGCCCCTCTCCCACTGCTCTTTGCAGCCCACCAGGTGCCGTTGGGGTGCTGGGTTTCTGGCTGGTTGCTTGGGCAGCCTCACTATGCCGATTACAGTGGGGATGGTGCACGGGGGACGGTTGTATCAGGCAGTTCCTCTCCCAGGCTGCTCATGTATGTGGTGACATCTAGGAAGATCTCTGGAACCTGGAGGGAAGTAGGTGGGCATGTGCCTGGGGCACCTCCCGCAGTTCATGAGGAACCCAAGCAGCTACAGGGACCTGCCTTCAAAGCTCCCTGCAGGGGTTGGTGGATGAGGGCTGACATTGCCAGGAGGCCACAGGGACCTATCGCCAGTGGCTGGGAGGAAGGTGGAGCAGTTATGTACTTTAGGGTTTCTTTTTGGTGTCTTGTTTCATGAATGTCATTTCTTAGCATTTTTGAGGTCTCGTATAAGGTTTGAAAGTCTATTCACATTGTAAATGGAGTTTTCAATTATTTTTAATACCAATATATCCAGAACTTTACTTAAACCCTAACCAAGGGAAGCATCTTTGCATAATTCTACCACTCCATCTAATCACACTTTTCTCCCCAGTTCTTACCTGGAGGCCTAGAGAAGCTGACCTGACTGTAACCTTGTGTGTGTAGTTAAAATATTTTTAAAACATTTTTGATGGTGTTACTTAAAAATAGTGAACTTCACGTATCTCAAACATACAGCATGATGAACTTTTACATATGTACACACCCATGGGACCACCACCCAGACCAAGATAAGGAATATTCCAGACCCCAGAGACTCCACACACCCCTCCCAGTTAACACGCATCCCAAAGTAGCCACTGGTCTGACCTCTATCACCACAGATTCCTTTCACCTGCATGGAGTCGTCCAGTCTGTATTACTCTGTGTCTGGTTTCTTTTAGGCGGCCTGTGACTGAAATTCACTCATGTTGCTGTGTTGCTCTTTGTCATTGTTGTGCAGTATTCTATTGTGTGAACGGACCCCGGTTTATTTGTTCTTCAGTTGACAGACATGTGGGCAGTTTGTGGTTTGGGTTATGATAAATAAAGCTGCTGCTGTCATTCTTAGACATAGTGTTTTGGTGAACACGAGCACTCACCTCCACTGGGCCTGTGCCCAGGAGTGGGGTCGCTGGGTCATAGGGCACACACAGTTCAGCTTTAGTAGGTACTGTCGGAGAGTCCTCCAAAGTGGTTGTACCACTTTACGCTCTAAGTGGATGCGTACTCATTTAGAAGACAGGAGCGGTGTCTGGGCAGGATCCAGTAAGGCCTTTGAGTCTTGGTCTCCGCGGTTTGGGTCTCACTGAGTTGACGCCTGCCCACCATCAAGAATGCTCAGGGTTGCCTCTCTCAGCTCTCCTGCTGTCCTTGGGGGCCTAAGGTTGGCAGATGGGAGCAAGAGACCCCAAAGAGAGGCGGGGCAGTGGCCAGCCACCACGCCAGCTGCGTGCCTAGCTCCTAGAGGGTTGTGTTGAGGGAAGGCTGCCTGAGGATGCTGCAGTGGAGGAAGCCCAGCAACCCTGCCTTCTCCCTCATGCCACTTGCTCAAGGTGGACATGACCTAAGAACTCGGAGGCCTGTCTTCTCCCTTCTCTCCTGTGAGCTGATAGAGCTGATAGAGCACGGAGCTTACATCCTGCCTGGATTTAGATCCCCCAGAGTCTGGGCCAGGACCTTGTACCCAGAAGGTGCTGGCCAACATCACCAGAGAGGAGGTGGAGGCAGATGAAGATGGCAGACCCTGGAGCCGTCTCCCAGAGCCTTAGAGATCCAGAGCCTCAGCAGGGCTTTGCTCCCAGAAGGGTGGTGAGAGCGTTGACCATGGTCACAGGCTTTGGGGTCAGACTGCCTGGGCTTGCATCCTTAAGCTGGGCCTCAGTTTCCCCATCTGTCAAATGCAAATAGCAATAATAGTTACCTCAGAGTAATGCCGTGAGGATGAAAAGAAAGAATATGTGCAAAGTGCTTAGCACAGTGCCTGGCACATAACAAATGCTTATAAATTTCATCTGCTTCCTCCTCATTATTATTAATATTCGCAGAGAGAAGACTGACCTGGGAGGGTTTACGATTAAAGTGGAGAGTGGGGAGCTGGGCATGTCACCCCTGTGGTCCCAGCTACTTGAGAGGCTGAAGCAGGAGGATCACTTGAGCCTGGGAGGTCGAGGCTGCAGTGAGCAATATTACACCACTGCACTCCAGCCTGGGCGACAGAGTGAAACCTTGTCTCTAAAAAAATTAAAATTAAAATTAAAACAAGTGGAGAATGAGGGAAATTTGCTGGGTACAGAGGGAATGTGGGGGCTTAGGAATGAGGCCTTTGAAATATATAATACTTGGTGTTTCCTCCTTCCCAAGCTTGAAACACACTTTTCTAGTGTGTTTTTATGCCAAAGTGATTTTTATCCTGATCATTTTTCTCTGAGGGCCAATAGTACTTTGCATCTAACTAGAATAGTAGGAATAGTTATTTTATCGTCAGAATGGGAATATTTTTTATTGTTTTTGTTGATTAAACTAGTGCTGCTTGTTGTTTAAAAAAAAAAAGTCCAATAGCTCATAATTGTATAAAGTGGAAAGTGAAAATCCCTTGTTATCTGAGCCCCAAAGATCCCTGGCATTACCAGTTTGCTGGATTCTTTCCAGACTTAATGTGCTCGGGCTGTGTGTGTGGCATGTGTGTGTATGTGTGTGTATGTGTGTCTGTGTGTAACATAAAAGGGATTAGGGATTTTACTCAATGCGCTTTGGCGTTGTCTGTGTTTTTTACTTAACACTCTATCACGGACATCTTGTTATGCAGCACGTTGTGGTCTCTCTTATTTTAATGGCAGTAGTGGTCCAATGTGCAACTCTGCCATGATTTACCTAACTAAGCCCTTATAGATAAATGTGAAGGTTGTTTCCCATTTTTTTCTGTATTTTTTTTCCTCTTAGAAGAAACGTTTCTATGAATAACTTTCTGCATATATTTTTAAACATTTGTTTTAATTTTAAAAATCTTTAAAAAGGAATCACACCTTTACCCTCTTTTTCTACGTCCAAATGTGTGGGAAGGTGTATTTTTAGATGCAAGTTAGTCTCATTTCCAAGCTTTGGTAAGTGCCTCTGTGTATTAGTCTATTTTCACCCTGCTGATAAAGCTGTACCCGAGACTGGGCAATTTACAAAAGAGAGAGGGTTAACTGGACTCACCGTTCCACATGGCTGGGGAGTCCTCATAACATGGCGGAAGGCAAGGAGGAACAAGTCACATCTTGTGTGGATGGGGGCAGGCAAGGAGAGCTTGTGTAGGGAAACTCCCATTTTTAAAACCGTCAGATCTTGTGAGACCCATTCACCATTGCAAGAACAGCATGGGAAAGACCCACCCTATAATTCAATCATCTCCCTTTGGGTCCCTCCCACAACACTGGGAATTACAGGAGCTACAAGATGAGATTTGGGTGGGGACACAGAGCCAAACTATCATTCTGTTTCTTTTGTTGGAGGGTAGGGAGAGGGCTCAAAGGGAGAGGTCTGAGGTCCCTGGAGGGGGACATGGGGGGAAGGGTCCAGAACCCTGCAGTGCAGCCCCAGAGGCCTCCTTTGCCTGTTTATTCTGTGATCTTGGAACTGCTTTTTCGGCTGCAGAATGAAACCATGTCAGTTGCCCTAGAGGTGACCTAGTCAGCCTCATTTGCTAGATGTGCCCAAATTTAGTCAGTAGCAGAATCAGGACTAGAATCCAAGTTTCTCAACTCCAAGGTTGCTGTGTCTTCTACTTTACCAACCTGCCCGTCATATTGCCAGCTAGAGGAGCTGAGAACAAGAGTGCAGGTGGTCATTCCTTTGCTGTCACTTGGAAAGCAGGCTGCAGTCTTTCTGTGCCAATGGTGAGCCAAGACCTTATGCCTGGATTGGCTTAAGAGCGCACTTCGGGTACTGCAGTGTCCACAAAAAGTCACTGACAGCTTTAGGATTCATAGCAGGGAGCATGTCTTCTGTTCATTTGAGGCCATGAGCTGTGTCAATTTCATGCCAATTTGTCTCCCTGCCTCTAGTCTCTCTTACTCCATTCAGCTTCTAGCTTATCTTCCTGGCAACCTTGTGACCACTGTAGTGGGTCCTCCCAAAACCCATGTCTACCTGGAACCTCAGAATGTAATCTTATTTGCAAATAGAATCTTTGCAGATCTAATTAGTTAAGGATCTTGAGGTGAGATCATCCTGGATTTAGGGTGGATCCTAAATCCGTTGACTGATGTGCTTATAGGAAAA